GATTCCGAATCGAATCTAATCCGCTCAGACGTATACAACAGCACACTAACTCCGAATCGAACTCCTCAACTCCACTCACTCAACCTGTCCGAATCCTCTATCCAATCGAATCCTCCAATGAACTCGAATCATCACTCTCCCATCGGGTCATATTGTGGCATGTCCGTGGCCCGTAGCTTTATACTTATGCCGCTAGGAGGTGCGAGGACCAGTTGGCGATGAAGCTGCAATTATGAGCGCTGATTGGATAGCGCTTGAGTTAGTGTCGAGAGAGCCAAACTGCAAGCGATATACAAATATTGCCTCTTTTCGGTGTGATGCGGGTTAGGCTGTGGGAGATTCGGCAGACTCATTGGAGTTCGATTCGGAGTTAGTGTGCTGTTGTATACGTCTGAGCAGATTGGATGTATGTGTGTCACATACCCAGCAGGCCCAACAGTATAACACATGCAGTCACAGGAGCAAGACACAACAAAAGCACAACACACACATGATAGTGAAAGAGTGCTCCAACAGAGGAGAATGGGCGTGACTGGCGTAGTGAGGTGCGACGTAGTGATGTGGTATCCTGAACAATTTTAATATTTTTAACGTTTGCCAATGTATATGATAGATACATATTTTAGTTATTTTAATATGAGAACAAGGCATGCAATGAACTAGTTTGGCATGGATAAGTAAGCACCTGAAGATGGCATTATTATGCCGAAACATGTAGTGCGAGGGAGAGAAGGAGATAAATGAGTGTATGCACTACAAGACGGTTTAAATAAATCATGGACTTAAATCAGTGCAACAGGACGCTAAAATATATCANTAAAGTGAACTTGATGCAGTGATGAGCGTAAGTAGGAAGTGACTGTATAAGTGAAAGTGAAAGCACACTAGTGATCTGAATTGAAATTCGATTCGCAAATTTTAAATTTTTACATTTAGAATAATATTTTAACTTGTGTTTTGTGAGAGGAACTTGATATATTGAGCGTGGGCGTGAATAAAATACAGGATCGAATAAGTGAAAAGACAAATATCATTGCGTGTAATTATACAGCTGTGTTCGGACACCTGAGGATGACCTCTTGAGGTCGAAACATGTAGTGTAATAATAATAAAAATGTGTGGTCGGTAAAATTGACTCTAATTAAATACACAACAGGATGCATGAAACAATTAACATTATCGAATGCTGGAAGTAGTTCCACTCTGAAGTCACTTCATTTAGTTTATCTCCTTTCTCTAAGCGTATGATAAGCCTATGTTTTACACTGTTAATACAGTGATGGTAATGTAGACATTCAGAAACTTTGCTGAAGAATTTGATCTGCCTGTTGCCACATTAGTCAGAAATCACCTAATGATTCTGTTAATACATGTTCCATTTATCTGGTGGTAAAATAACAGTCTTAAAGTAAATTTTAAAATGGTCTGATGATGGTGTCTAACACTTTAAGTTTTTGATTTTATGGACTCTGTCAATCGTATAGCATTCTAAAGAGCACACTAACGGACCCAAGAACATAGGGGCCTCCCATCCTTTCACCTGAGGACACCAACAGGTCCAGTTTCTAAATTGTTGTGTCCTTTAGTAAAATATCAGACAATGCTTCATAACCAAGTTATCCAAAACATTCTGAAAGTTTTGGTCCATGACCAACAAACTTATGTTCTGTATTCCAAATATTTATTTTCATATACTGAACAGTACAACCTCTTTGTCAGCTAAACCTAAATGGGTGCTTTTAACACATACTTCAAGTATAAACTTATGGGCATAAACGTTCCAAAACACAATCTAATACAGAATATGTAGCAGAGAACAAAACTGTACTCTCCACACATTCTCAAATGGCATGCCCTGTGGTGATGTGAAATATTTTAAATTACCATTTTCATATAAAAAAATTTCACCTGAGAATTTTAATTTTTTTAACATGATAATGGAAATGTTTGTTCAGCTTAAAGTGACCATTTTTCTCAGTATTTAATAACCAGTGAAACAACAATCAACATTCTGCAGTTATATTAAACTGCACTATGTACTGAAATCAGTAACTACGAAAGCAGTTCAAAAACATCTTTTCTCTTTCCATGGGAAACTACAAAAGTGGAGTCATAATCCCTTTACATCACTTGTCATTCAAAGAAAAGGTTCCTTACACCACAAAGATGAACAGCATGTGCATACACAGAATTACTTTGAGAGCTTCACCTAAAAGGGAAAAGAACTTCAATCTGCTCCTAATTAAAAATTCATGCTGTAATCAATATATACATATTGTATTATTTGAAAACAAAATTGGTAACTACAGCTAATATATACTGTATATGTATATATATTTATAAAACAATGTTTGCTTTTCAAATGTCACAATAACAGAGCAAAAATGAAAAATATTAAAGTTTACTCCTATGTGGATAACAGACTCATAGAAATGCTACTTACTTTTCAAATAATTAAGGAAAACTATGTAGTACAATATCATTTCCAACTCCCCACATCTGGATTAGAAACTGTCATACTGATACCTCAGGTCTCTCCATAGTGCAGAATGTATTGATCATCTTAAAATTACGCAAGATTAACCATCACCATTACTTTCTTGCACAAAAACCATACCAATTCCTCATAAATACTAATTTTTAATTAAATCAAGAAATGTAATTTGAACCTATGTCAATTTTAAACAAAATATATATTCTACAACTAGTTATAAAAAAAAGCTCTTAAATAGAAATTACTGACAAAAAACTACACATATCATTGGTAACAAAAATATGTGACATTTAAACTAAAGTTTTGATACCGTGGTTAAAAACAAAGACCATGAATTTGTGTACATTGGCCAGTTGACTAATGAATTACTGAATAAATGACCTGATAAAATTATACGATGCCACTGTCGTGTTTTTATATTTCCACAAGGTACATACAACTGTACAGTACAGATTCCACCATCTATAATCATTGTAACCAACACAACATGGAAAAAATCTGAGCAATTCCTACTCTAGTAATGATGTGGAACAAAACTTCCTACGTGTATATATTTGTGATGAGTAGCACTTACAATTTTTCTAAGCTTCACTTATTCTACAGCTATTAATTAATATACAAAATTTTAGACTTACAAAGTCAAAACTTAGTGATTGGAAACTGCAAGGTTATACTAACCAGCTGTAATGAGCAATTATGTGTATTCCTTTTAAATAATGCCTATATTAACATCAGCATTAGAATGGAAATTCACCGTACTATACCTAAAATCTGCAGAAAATCTTTCATCAAAACTAGTTACAAATATGTTACTGAATTATACACAGTGTAAAAAAACAATTTCTAATAAGTATTTACCAGTAAAATGATAGTTTGTCCTTTAATGCCAAAGAAATTTACTGGGTCTCTGGTACATCCCTTCTATAACAGCACAAAATATGGATATAGACATCTTACAGTTAGACATGAGCATTCTGAAAACACTGTGCTTTTTTCAGCGTATCACAGGAAACAGGCCTCTTCCATTCAGATATGAGCATTCTGAAAATGCTGTGCTTTATTCAGTACAGCACAATGTTTTGTTACACTCCCCATTCCCCAAATTTCATTTACAAAACAGAAGACTGATAACAGTCTGCGATCTGCTAACATTTTCTGCATGAAATAATGCTTAAAGAACAACTGGGCAGGTATATAAAGAGCAGGTAACTATTGTATGAAAATCATAACTTGTCTCAGTGCTCAGATCTAAAGAGAATTAACAGAAATGTTTGTGCCATAAACAGCCATTACATTTCCATGCAAAATTTTCTCCACTTAATAAGCTCTACATTTCTTCATGAACACAAATAACAAATTACTTTTCATTCTTGATTCACTATTATATTTTATATAACACATGAAACTGGAAACCAAATTGGATGATGCCATGTGATCTCAAGAATTAAGTGGTCTTCATATCCTTAACTTAAGCATTGAATATATTACTTACCTGCTGTGACACACTCCCTTGCAAACTAACAGAATATATGACATTCACTCACATACAGTACCCTGCCTGCAAATTTCAACAAGTATAGAAGCTACAGAGACACAGCAATTATAATGGGCCTTTTTATATTAATTTCCATATAGTACACATCCAGATGTGGGGAAGATCTGACATATATTTGTATTTTTGTGTCAAGAGCTGCTTTGAAAAAACAACTACCATTATTGTCCACATTTTCCACATTATATGAAGATAATGAAAATGTAGGGCCAATTTTTCTAAATGATACAAGTTCTATGGAATGCTGTACTTCATTTACCCACTCTTTAAAGTAACAAGGACCTTCTATATTTGCAGAAATCCTTTCATATTTAACTGAAAATTAGGAAAATATATTTAAAAATTTATGGTTAAGGCACAATTACAAAAGAAATGTACATACTCAAGAAATGTCAAATTCCTGAAACTTGACCACTTTCTTTTCAAAGGAGCTGGAATTATGAAACTAGCCTCTGTAAAATTTCACAATAATAAATACTTATCTGAAGTGGAAAGCAAAACCTTCATCAGATTAAAAAAATAAGCCCTTGCATTATAGTGAGTTTTCACTGCTGCACTGCCCAATGTGACGAGTTAACTGAACAGTAAAGTCAGTGTACAGCAACAGCAGCAATTTGGATACACTTTTATTTACAATTCAAAGTGACTAATTTCTTACTTAAGATATAACACTTCATGTAGATCTATTTCCCTCAATTCTGTTTAAAGTATACAACATAAATATATTACAGGACAAATAACAATATGGTAGATTAAATTAACATCAACTCTCGACACTGAAGACAACTTCACACTGATGTTTGGGCAATATTTCACCAACAGCACAAATATATCATTACGCATTTCTGATCTTTCCTGGGACATAGTTTTTGTCAATTACTGGCTCCTGAAGAAACATATGTAGACATCGTTCATTCTGGGCAAGTGGGTGACCAGCAATCCTGAAATGAAAACACTGTATATGACTGGTACTTCATAATGGCCAAAATGAAATACACAACAAGTAGAAGGTAAAAGGTAAATCTGTTTCTGTATCCTAACATCAGACCATGAAGGCACACTGGGGCAGTGGATGTAAAGCTCCACGCAGTCTTAACTTGAGCACTAGACTGAGGTGAGTGACCAGCTCCATCCAACGGAACACAACACAGCATAGCCTGAATAACTGGACTATTATACCAAAGAGCTTTGATCATCAGATGATACCACGCTGTGGAATATATTCGTCTTCCATTAAGGAGAAGAAGTGTAACAACACAAACCAGATTGCTTCTAGATTAATAAAAATATTGAACATTAATTTGTAAACAAATTGATCGTAATAATTTTTTAGATGTTCTAACAAATCAATGTACATTTTAGTATTATTTAAAAGATACACTATTTATACCTATGACGTGGTAATAGTAGTTTCCATGTGTTGATAATATCCTTCTGAAGATGGTCATTTTGAACGAAACATGTATAGGAAGAAAAATTACATGCACAACTTTCATCAATCACACTGGACAGTGGTTAAAAATCTTATATACAAGCCAAAAACATTATCACTGGAACCAACATGCTCAGTCCCTTGGAAAGATGCCACAGAACCCATCATATAACAAGGCTGGAGAACCCCACAGCTTGTTTGCACACTGTGATGGCAAACAGAAGTATTCATATTCCTGCTCTGAACTAAACCCTAGCCATAGTCCATAGCCAGTCACTTAACTGATTAAACCATTAGAGTTTTCTGACAACACCCTACAGTAGTACTGAATGCAAAGGAAAGCATAACAATACAAAAACAAGACTGAATGCAGTAAAACTGTATTAACTGAACACAAATTCAAAATATAGTAACACCGATGAAAAAAATCATTTTTGCATAACAATAGAAGAAATGAGAAGAAACCAATACAAAGACCACCTTTATGAACACAGTCTATTACAACATAAAGACATTAAGCTATCCACGGCTCACAGAAATAAAATGTTTTTAAGTTTTAAGTTTTAAATTTTAAAGGTAAATTTGTAATCTCAATCTTACTGCAATTTAAACTGTATTGCAATTAATATTAATAAGAACAACACATAGGGTATGAGTGTACATCAATAGGTTATCTATTTTACATCATATATTATATTAGGTATGTGCAAACCAAGAATATGCTTACACTAACAAAGTGAGAAGTCAGTAGCTGTGATATAAAATCACACATTAAAAAGTCAACGACTATATTGTATGTCTAATGAAGATGACCCTTTAAGGGTCAAAATATGTACCGCTGATTTTAAATTGATCAATAGAAACACTGTGTTTGACGGTTAACATATTTAAGGTCTTATACCTATTTAAACTATTAGAGCTCAATACAGAGTATACAAAACAGTTAATTCAGACACCCAAAAGTTTGAATAAAAACTCACATATACCTGAAGAGTTTTGTCTTCTGGGATGTGATTTTGTGCAGTCCAGTAACAGTTTACTGACATTTCAGAGAAAAGTAGTTCCCTCACCTTTGGGGTCTAAGAGTAACCTCACGTGCAGCAGGAAATGACTTACTATACAAAACTTAAAATGCAGGCAATATATTCCTTCAAAAGCTGGTAAGCTTCTACCATAAGGCCGCGGCATAGCTCAAGCAGTTAGCTGCTGGTTTCCGACCGTGGTGGCCCGGGTCTGATCCCAGGTCTGGTCAAGTGGGATTTGTGGTGGACAAAGTGGTGCTGGGGCATGGTTTCTCTGAGTACTTCCCTTTCCCCTGCCAATCTTCATTCCATCAAATTCTCCATCATCATAATCACCTGGAGCAGGTACAACAAGCCAATCAGTGGCCGCCGTATCAAGTGGACCCAGTTGGACTCCACCCCCCACTAAGCAAAAAAGCTTCTACCACACTATATGGTGTCATATCCCAGATGATAGCACTCTACATAATCACCACTGTGAGAACCTCACACCTCACATATTTATACATACTTATTCACAAACACTTCCAGTCCTTTTCTTCTGTCTTCAATGAAATCTTCTTCAAATATTCCATCATCTCCTCTGAATGGCATTTGTCGTTTCCATGCTTTGCCTGGCAAAGGAGGAACTACTATCTGCAATAAACATTTATATCAATTTTATAATGATTGCTGCAGCCAAGGTCAATATCAAACAGACCTTAAGCACTGTTATGCAGAATGAAAAGTTTGCAAGCAGGAAACTTACAATTGGGGGGGGTCATGCATATTTTGGCATTACAATATTTCTAACCACTACTCTTCTTCAAATATTACTACAACTTTCTCAGTACCTCTGTGTGCAGTGACACAGTGGAGATGGAGATCTAATATGTAACTAGTAGGCCTAAATGAAGAATCTATTCACAATACGGACACAAATTTTCAATTCCTATATGACAGATTTTGTTTCAATTTCACAACACGGACACAAATTTTCAATTCCTATATGACAGATTTTGTTTTAATTTCACAACACGGACACAAATTTTCAATTCCTATATGACAGATTTTGTTTTAATTTCACAACACGGACACAAATTTTCAATTCCTATATGACAGATTTTGTTTTAATTAAATAACATTAGCACGTTTATTTTACCACAGACACTGGAGGACCTGTTCTGACACATGCAAACCACAACAGAAAACTGCATATGCTGTACCTTACTATCTCGTTCTAATTCGTTTCTCAGCCATTCAAAATCGCTATATCTTCGACGAACGATAGATTCCTTCACCTTAAAAACGGGAAGGTTTGTCTGTAATGGAACAAGATCAACATTCATTACTTAATAACTGCACTTAAGTAACAATACCTAAGTACTACCAATAGCTTCTACAAGCCTTTTCGTTAAACCGTACAATAAAGAACAAATTTCCAATATACTGGGATTTAAAACAGAAAAGTATTTTTACGTGCATATATATATATATATATATATATATGTGTGTGTGTGTGTGTGTGTATTCAATGTTATGTCACGTCAGTTTCCTGTGTTAAACTGTATTAGGTGTAATAATTCCATTGTGACACCTGCTGTTTACACAAACTTCATAAATACACTGGAAAATGTGACTATTCCCACTTTTCCCCTTATAGACAAACTATTTCCTGCCTACCGAAACTGTACAAGTCGTCTTCAAAACTGACATTTCATACGAAGCAGCTCTTACCCTCATTCTAACTTCGTAGTCAGTATATCTTTTTTTTCCAACACCATGAGTAATTGGATTTATAACATCAATCTCAAGAAAATTTGCTGGAGCTGCATATGCATCGTCCAAAGTTTGTTTTTTAACGTTCAGCCGCCTGGTTGCATCTACCGTCGTATCCGCCATGCTGCAAAACACCTACTTTTGATTCTGATACTTTCCGTAAGATGTCGACTTCTAAACTGCGTGGAAATGAACGGAGAGGCACCATCGGCACGATAGGCACCGATAGGCACCACCGGCACTATGTTGCGGTATGTTCTGTCATGTGCTGTTGTACGACTGATACAAACGGGATAGGGTTGTAACTAGAGCGACTTGATTTTAAATTTCTGTGAGTGTTTAATTATCCGTGGTACGTAATTGTTTTACGATTCTTAGCGAAGGGGAATCCTGTAGTTTTTAATATTTACTAACTCTCGTTTAGTCTATAGGCCGTGAATGGTCTATTGTACTCGGCCAGGATGACAAAAGTGTAACACTTTGTGGAACGACAATTGGCAAAGGAAGTCTTGTANCTGCCATTCACAATGTTAATACTAGGGCAAAACATGATTTACATCAACCACTATCTCAACTGACAGTTTTTCAGAAGGGGGGCCTACTGTGTGGGAATAAAGGTGTTTAATGGCTTACCAGCCACTATAAAGGAGATATCTCAAAATGCTGAACAATTTAAACTGGTATTGAAAAATTTTTTATTTCTTCACTCATTTTATGCCACGGACGAATATTTTTACTATAAATATAATGTATAAATGTAATATATTCTATTTTTATTATATTTATATAATTATATTTTTATGATATAGGATTTAAATCTTAATTGCAATATGACTGAATTTGGAACCAATTTTAATGAATTGTGAATGGGATAAATGTTTTATTTTGTATCTGTTGGTACTGTGAGTTGTTCGTATATTATGGGACCTTGTCCTCAAATTGCATTGATGAAATTTAAGTTAAATAGGTGGCATTATCATGTGTTTTGCGTGATTATAATTACTGTTGTGATGGTGAATTGTTGTTATGTATATGAGGTTTTCTGTTATAACGTGATTGTCTGGATGTTTTTAAACTTACCCACTGAAAAATTAAGATCAGCGTATGTTACTAAGTTCATACGCTGGTCTGGCAGTCCACGTTCGGTGTAGAAACTTGTCTTTTCGAGGTGGAGGTAATCTGAATTTTGATTGACAATTTGTTTTGATAGAGGAATGTCACATATGCAACAACAGAAACGGAAGAGTAAAACTTTCATGTGGCTTGCCTACATTGTTCAAGGGACTATTTAGTTAAAGCAGAAGACTACTTTTCGTTGGATTTGATGTTCCTACACCTGCGACTATTAAACGTTTCATCTTCTCGGATATATCCCCAAACTTTATGTTTGCTTCATTCTACTCTTTTGTTCAGCGTACTTTTCGATCCTGAAGATGGAGGCGATATGTTTCTCTGACACGTGAGTTGACTTTCATTGGACTATGCGGTATTATGTTGCAGGAAAAGTCTTCGAAAACTCTCTTATTTTCGTTTCTGAAACCAGCGAGTGGTAGCAAGGGAACAGAAAGTGAGATGCACAGGACCGAAGTATGAAGCGGTGTGAATTTGTCTTCTAGCACAGATTTATGTTAGTTAACCCCGGGCTAAATAATTTATGTGAGGAGACCGACGAGAATCACGTGAGTTCTTGGAAGGAGAGAGTGTTGAGAAGCCAGCCTGTAGGATGCCCTGAATTCTATTTTATTCTTAGTTAGAAGCTGGCTTAAAATATTGAAGATAGTGGCAGTAAGACAACGTCTAATCTTTGAACCAGTCGTCTGAATTTGTAACTTCAGCAATCTTGAAATTTTCTCTCTTTTTATATATCTTACACTATGTAGTAATTCGAACTCTTATATTCTTCATGATGTAGTGAACCAAGGCAGAATCTTAGAAAGTAACGCCGATATAAGAATCCTAAAATACGGCATTTAGTGCGTCATATACATGGAAAGAGTAATTGTACTACTCTGCTGTTTGTGAGCTTTGAAACAACAACAAGAAAAATAGCGACCGCAACAACAGTGATCCAGCTTAAAATCGCCATGTGAATTACTTGTTCAGTGTTCATCGAGAGTTCCACTCTGTAATTCTGTAATAGTATCTACCAAATCCATCAGGGGATAGAGTAGTCGGTATAGAGACTGGCTACGAGGTGGATGACGGGGAGTCGAATTCGAGTCCCGATAGGGTAAATAATTCTTTCCTCACCATATCGTGCTAACCGGCTTTAGGGCCCACCCAGCCTCCTACCCAATGGGTTACGGGTGATTTTCCCCCTGGGGTAAAGCGGCCGTAGCATGAAGCTGACCACTCACCTCCATCTAGTGCTGTGGTCAAGAAAACCTGGGTCTATACATACACTCCCCCACACGCCTTCATGGCGTAGTGCTTACTTTCACCTCATAATGAACGAACCGAGAGGTGTGCATGGAAAGGGGGCCTTAGTCACTGCAGTCAAGACGAGGGACAGTAGAGTGTAACTAAATATGAGGAGAGAGACGAAGAGCTTATTATGTATCAACAAAGGCCGCGCCATAGCTCAAGCGGTTAGTCGTTGGCTTCCCATCGTGGCGGCCCAGGTTCGATACCGGGGTCTGGTCAAGTGGGATTTGTGGTGGACAAAGTGGCGCTGGGGCAGGTTTTCTCCGAGTACTTCGGTTTCCCCTGCCAATCTTCATTCCACCAATTGCTCCACAATCACCCTCACCTATCATCTGGGGCTGGTACAATAGGCCAGTAAAAGGGACTTAGTCCCACCCCACTAGCAATAAAAAAAGTATCAATAATATTTTGGCAAAAAAAAATATGCAGAATATAAGAGGATTTTATGTAGAATAAAACGGGTATTCCAGCTTGTAGAAAACAAAGATCGTTTTGATGTTGTATAGGCATAACAACAAAAGATAATGCAGGTTATGTATGGTCAATATTTACATAAACCGAGAACTCACAGAAGTTAGTAACATCTTCTCCACGCAACGATTGTTCAAATTCAGGTGTGAATACAGATAATCCTGCCATTTCAAGAAAAAAATTTAACTCATTTTATAAACAAGAATATAATAAGGGGAGACATCGAAAGAAGGGACCGATGAATTTATCACATATATGAATTTTACAGTATGAATAGATGATACTTGAATAAAATTCTGTAAACACTTATCCAATTAACACAAGAAAAACTCTCATAATATGTTAAGAGGCGGATAATTTCTGTATTTCTGCAATAACTCGATAGTTCTCTGTCTAGAAACAATACTGAAGAAGTAACACATTACCGTACTATTGATAAAGCAAAAACATCGACAAATATACGAAAAACTATTACTGGAAAAAATGTTGCATTTACACCCATGCAATATAGACTCGGAGCAAGAAGGGACATACATGATATTCTCACATACAGTATTTCACCATGGACACCTAAAGGTCTTTTAATGACAAAAAGATGTAAAATGAAATATTTATAGGCTTAATAAGTGCACATATCTCAGAATACTTATCATATACTAAAACATTAATTATGAATACTCAGTTGGATGAAAAGTGGGTGAAAGACGCGCAGTACAGAAAGATTGAGAGACGAAAGATATAGGGAGAATCACTGTACGAGGCATAGTGAAAAAAGATCAGTGTTAAGGTCGCTGCTTTCTATGTCTAAGCTGATCTGTTAGGATCAATATTATAGTCACCAGAATAGTTTCATAAACATGCAGAAAACCTACTACTGTATGATTGGTTCATCACAAGACAACATATTTCATATCTACAAGAATACGCAATACAACAGAAAGCACACGTACTAACGACAAGCAGCAGCACGCACACAGAAAGGCTACACAGAATAACACCGGTACAGTACTAGAAACAAGAAGTAGCCGCTGCAGCACTGTAGACATAAGGCGAGTAAACCTGACAATTTTAAATTTAAAAATTTGAGGAAAATTGAAAAGATATTAAAATTAGAACTGAAAATTTTATAAGTGCTAATTCAGAGAAATCAAAATTGACTTCTAAATAACAAAGATATAAACGAAGTAGATTTTGGTAATAACGACGAAAGGCACTGTGGGGTTTTTGTTGTGTCATTACTCTGATGACAACCCACTTCTTCGAAACAGTTTGTAGGTCCTGAAAAGGACTGTTGGTTGCTGAGATGCTTGACCGGTGAGGTAGCGCCGGTAGGAAGGCATGTTGGTTGCGGTGGATGTTGACTGGCCGCAGTGCGGCCGTTGCTTGAGGTCACTTGATCGCAGTACAGCAGTTGCTGGAAGTTGCTTGATCGTAGTGCGGCAGATGGAGGGGGTTGCTTGGTTTTGGAGAGCATTCGCGTGCCGAGAACGGTCGCAGGAGTGGTGAGGCGGTAGCTACGCCAGTTGCCCAGTGTGTCGGGCATGACTACTGGCGAATCGAGACGGCCGAGGTGCCCAGTGAGTCGGGTGTGACCGCCAGAGAGCCGTGGCAGTTGTGCCTGGCGCAGCGAAGCGCCGATGAATCCGAAGACCAAGCGCTGGCGACGAAGTGTGCTGATTGCTTGTAGACTGCTGATGAACTGATGACTTGCAGAGTCAGAGTCATGTTACAACTGACGGTCAGTCAATCTGTCTGTCTTGGTGTCGAGCCCCAGCTGGGTCTCAGTGCCAGATATTTTTTGAATGAAAGTTACGGTCTTCTCTATGTGGGGCGCCCTCTCTGACGAGAAGTCGGGTTTGACATTTGTCAGTCAGTCTGTATTAATATGTTCACTGTCTCTATTTACATAAATTTACAATACACACTTATTTCTTACTTTTATGTACAATGTACAAGGCCTCTGTCAGTCCAGCCTCAGTACAGCAGATTACGCCCTATTTCCAGCATTATTAGCTACCACGACAGTCTAGTCACTTGAACGGTTATATGCCTGACTGCCGCCAAGTTTAAGACTCTTATATTTTCTGTGGCTGACTTCGCCTTGTCCAATGTTGCGAACATTTTCATTATCATGATTTTGTATGACTTCTGCTTGTTACCTGCATAATTTTGTTATAAAGTCATATACGTACAGGATTTTGAATGCCATGTGCTAATCACGGACCAGTGTGCCCCTCGGAAAATTGCCTATCGTGCGAAGAACCTTGTTTTGCAGGCGCTGCAATTTCACTAGATGAGTGTCTGCCGCGAACTCCCAGGCGGGACTAGCATAAGTCATTACGGATCTAATAAGACCTTTGTGGAGGGTTAGTTTAATGTTAGCGCTCAATCGCTCATTTTTCAATAGGGAATACACTCTAATGAATGTTCTGAAGGCCTTGGCTTCAATCATTTCTATGTGTAATCTCCAAGTCACTCTCTTATCGAAGATTACACCTAGATATTTTGCACTATTTACAAATGGAATATTTCTTCCATTTAGAGTAAGACAAGACTCAGGCGGTCGACGACCACGAGAGAAGTAGACCCACCGAGTCCTATCTTCATTAATTTTTATATTCCAGCGCTCACACCAGGTCTCCATTGAGTTGAGACCGCGCTGGACATTTCTAACAATAAAACCCTCCTTACGATCTGTCACATATAGACAGGTGTCGTTCGCAAAGAGGGCCAGGTCAACACCATATGTTTGGGGGGGCATCATTTATATACAAATTGTAAAGCGTAGGAGAAAGGACAGAACCTTGTGGCACCCCTGCTAGCATTTCTCTTGGCGTTGACATTTCGCCTTCAACTGAGACCCTGAATTTACGTTTAGGAACAAAGGACCCAATAAGTTTGGTAAAACTGTTCGAGAATTCCAATTTTCATAACTTATACAGCAATCCTGAGTGCCATATGCTATCAAAGGCTTTTTCGATGTCCAAGAACACCGCCGCCGTAGATATTTTATTGTTGAAATTTAGGGTCACGAGGTCCGCCAGCCTCATACATTGCAATGTCGTGCTGTGACATGCACGAAAACCAAACTGGCTTGCGTTGAACAGGCCTCTTTCTTCAATATGTTTTTGGAGGAAATTTAAAATTGCTTTTTCGAATATTTTTCCTGTCGTGGACAGGAGGCTGATCGGACGTAAATTTTGAGGGAATTTTGGGTCTTCACCGGGTATGGGTAAGGTTCCTTCCAAGTTCTTGGAAAATGAGAAAGCCGAAAGCAATGATTAAATAAATGGGTTAGATGAACCAGTGGTCGCTTTGGAAGGTGCCTGAGGCATTCATTTGGGATGCCGTCAATTCTGCAGGTCTTTTTTAATTTCAGGGATTTTATTAATTTCTGAACGTCACATGGTCTGATCCTTAGAGGGGGATTTTCATCCACGGCTTCCAGTAGAGCTTGAACTCTAGCCTCCACCCGCTCTTCATGGTTTTCATCGCACAGGTCATGTGGCGTGAACTGAATTTCCAAACAGTCGGCAATTTCGTTGGCTTTTTCAAAGCGATGAAATTTTAGGACAGAAGAACCATGAATCACAGTTGGTGCCCTTGGTCCGTCTCTCTTTAAGAGAGATTTCACAATGGGCCATATACCCTGAGGCTTGACTTCAGCGTTACCTATTTTTGTTTCCCACTGTTCAAGTGCCCTTTTTCAGGTCATTCGTCTGATCGATTTGGTGATCCAATTGACTGCCGTTCTCCACTCTGGATCCCTGGTTTCTTGCCACAATGTTCTTAACCTCTGCTTGTATTTTATCAAACGAATTAGACCAGGTAGATCGTTGTTTATATCCGAAGGTGCAACTTTACTTGTCGACAATCTATATGCCGAAGCAATAGAGGCTGCAAAGTCGCATGCCGCTTTATCGGCTTTTACCCCCGAATTAATTTCTAGTTTAAGTGATATTAACTCAGAGGCGAGGCTTTGAAACTGCTCCCAATCTGTAAATTTTTCAATGGGTTCCAAAATATTCCTAATTTAACGTGACCCAGTATGTGGAGTACTATTGGTAGGTGATCTGAATCCAAAATATGTGAGATGATGGCATCAGACACACTGATATTTTGGTGAACAACGTCTACCATGTCACCATTTCCCGCAGGGGAATAATGAGTGGGACACTGTGGCGCTGAGATTTCAAAATCACTCTTATCAAATAAATCAACGAGTTTCAAGCCTGAGGGGTTTGAAACTCTGCTATTCCAAAAGGTGTTCATAGCATTCAAATCACCTGCCAAAATATTCTTACGTCTAAAGCCTAGAGCTCAGTGATGTCAGTATCAATCCAGGCTCTACCTGGAGATTTATAAACAGCTGCAAGCAGCACTTCACTGTTACCATTTGGTATGCAGACCCCTGTCACTTCTACCAAAACAAGGGGTGGTAGCTCTCCATGGTTATGGGGAATGCCTTTTCTAACTGCAACGGCAGTTCCGCCTTTTCTGCCCGAGTGGCAGTCGATCCTATAAGAGTGGTAATTTGGAATAAAGAACCTCTCATGAGGTTTCAGACGTGTTTCTGAAAACAGGGCCACATCTACGTGTAGGTCTTGCAGCTGTTTATTGAGCTCATAGCGCTGCCTCCCAATGCCGTTCGCATTAAATGCTATAACTTTGAGGGCCCTATGAACCCTAATGGTCATTCTGTATCATAAGGTTTAGAACAATTTTGGTAATGGCCATTATTTTGTCCTCCTCGGACACTGAACCACTGACCTCTGCCATAATCTGCTGTACTACAGTCACTACTCTCAACATATTGTCGAGAGACTGACCGTTTACATTAGTAGCCTGAACTGACTGACCTGTTTCTTTCTGTAGTGCAGGGGCCGGTACAATTTGCTTCTTCGTTGTGGCTGGAGCCACCGGAACATGGCTTTCCTGAGGGCGCTGTTGCTGCTCTGCTGCACTGCCTCGGAGTGCCGCCGCGAAGGAGACACCTGGAGTTACGGTGGCTGAAGAGAAACCCTCCCCATAGTTTTGGACGTTCTCTGAGCCTTCCTTCTCTGTTGCTCTTCTTTGGCATGTTTGCAACCCCGATAATTGGCGGGACGTGTCTTTTCTCCCTCCGCCAACCGGCAGTTGCAGCATACTGGGGTGGAGGAAGAGTTCTCCTTCTCTGGGCACTCCTTGTGTAAGTGGCCACCTCCGCACCACAAACAACGTGGGGGCTGTTTGCAGTTAGCCCAAACATGGCCGAACTGCTGGCAGTTGTAGCATTGTGTGAGCCCACTCTGTGCTCTGTATGCCTCTACCTTGATGGCATTGTGGCAGAGGTTGGTCAGTCGGAAGACTTCTTGGGACCTCTCCGTTCTAGGAAGTGTGATAAGGAACAAGAGAAGATAAATGTTATTTGTTCCTTCTGGAGGAGTCCGACGACTGGTCATTTGTTTGACGTTATATAATAAGGCATAATCTGCTCTACCTAGCCTGGACTGGCAGAGGCCGTGTATATATTGTACATTTAAGTAAGAAATAAGTGTGTTTTGTAAATATGTGTAAATACAGACAGTGGACTTATTAATACAGACTGACTAACAAATGACAGACCCGACCTCTCGTCAGAGAGCGCGCTACACATAGGCAAGACAGCAACTTTCATTCAAAAGAATGGGGCTCGACACCAAGACAGACAGACTGACCGTTAGTTGCAACGTGACTCTGACTCTGATGTTCCCAGAATACCAAGACATGTCTACGATGAACGCTGCATGATCAGATTACTTGACAGAAGGATTGAAAGAGGGATTTCTGCCTGACAGAAAGGGGGGACTAATCTGGCACACAGATGGCTCCAAAACAAATAAAAGGCACTGGAGCTGTTGTGTATTTCCATTTTACAAGGCAAACAATTTGTTTTAGCCTTGGGCACTACACAAGAGTATTCCAGGCAGAAGTGTATGCTATTAAGGCATGCACAGTTGAGAATCTAGATATAAATTATAAAAGCAGAAACATCTACATTCTATCAGACAATGAAGCTGCAATTAAAGCACTTGGCAAATACCAGATCACCTCAAAACTGGTCTGGGACTGCCATCAATCCCTCACACAGCTGACCAAGCATAACAGAATTCACCTGATATGGATGCCAGGTCATGAGGATATGGTTGGTAATGAAACGGCAGATCAGTTGGCAAGAACAGGATCTGAACATCTGCTGATAGGAGTTGCCAAGAAAGCGGTCACGTGCNTAAAAAAAAAAAAAAAAAAAATTGAATATCCATAACTGGACTCAAACAGCAAAGGGACGTATACGAAGGTCCTCGGCCAGAAGAACAAAGCATCTGTTAAAATTAAAGAGAGACCAATTAAGAGGGCTGATATGACTCTTTACAGGACATTCTCACTCAAAAGGGCATATAATGCCATCATCTGCGGAAAGTCAACTTACGTGTCGGAGGAATACGTTGCTTCCATTGTCAGGGTTGAAGAATAAGCCAAGCAAGAAACCAGCAAAGCTGAGCTTGTAACCCATGTCATTTCGGTTTCTTGCTTGGCTTATTCATCTACCCTGAAGAAGGAAGTGACATGTTCCTCCAAAATGTCTGTTGCCTTTCTTCCGACTACATGCCCTTATTTCCCAAATGGTAAAACCCTTCATAGCCACTGCTATGAGAACCTCATCAAATCCTACATAGAACAGAAAAAGACTGTGCAGCTTATTTCATGGTCTGCAAGATGGAAGTAACTTTCCATAAGTGTAATTTGAGTTATGTGTTCAGTAGTCTTTTTGTGTAGCTGTGAGTCATTAATAAGTATAAAGCGACATATATTCTTGTGATGAAATATAATCCATTATATATCTTCATTCTCCCTAGCAGAAAGATCTATACAATTAAAAGTAGGTAATCAAAACTGGCTCACACTTTATCACCCCGCCTTTACTTTTACCTGAAAGGACTATTAACATACACATAATTGAAATTTTCCAGTTTTTAACTAAGTAATAAATTATCATTGACAGGTTTGAGATGTAAAGTTCAAATTGGTTCAGCCTACACCTCTGATTTTTTACCTTATTCGTCCTAATCCAGTGATCTGGATTAGCTATTTCTAACAGACCCAACAAAGCAGGTGTTTCCCACTCCCTAACCTGAGGACAGAAACAGATACTTTTTCTGAAGCGTTTTGTTCTTTAGAATACCAGATAATGGATACCCACCAGATGAAAGATTCTCCATCAGCAGATCACTGTTGAAATCCCAGAGCTTTTTCAACTTCCCACATATTTCTCTTTGAGTCTGCAAAGTGCACTCTCCCTATTCCGAACAGGTTCATACAATTTCATTTTTCTTGGTGTCAATTCGGAAAGGGAAACCAACATACATTATTTTAGCAGAGACTGCCTTGTTTTAGGCTTTGAGAAAGAACTTCGACAACTGATTTGCCCAAGTTCTCCCTGAAAAACAGTTATGTTTACAGAGCTTAGGGAAAAAGAAGTGTCTTTCCGTGCAATGTTATTGGCTGCTGCTCTTGATGGTTGGCCTGCAGATATTTGAAAGGAAGTGGAAGGATGGTCAGCAAGGATAGGAATAGGTGTTACAGCGGGGGCACCCGTGTCTTACTTTAGGTTCTGGTGGGATGTAAGACACAAGGTCATCTTTTTGAGGTATGACTGAGGGCAACGGATCCAAGGAAGGGGTATGTAATGAAGGGACAGGAGGTTGTGGGAGAGTCTGTGAAGCAGAATTTGAGCCACATGGAAGTGCCACTCTATTCAGGTGTACTCTTTCAGCTGTAGTGAAATCACTTTCTAAGAAATATCTGCTGCACAAACATTTATTGTGCAGCATTCTACCAGAATCAATAGGGCAGGATATTTAGACTCTTCCTACACATACCAGAACCCTGTAGGAGTAGAACATAATGTCTCAAAATCTATAAATAACTCATCAGAAAACATTTAAAACTTGGCACATGTGCTAAAGTTTGGGGTTATGTTTTAATTAATTTAATGCAGACATAGGCTAAACTTAATTTCTTGGTTGGGTTATAAGTTAACAAAGTATAACTATGATATTTACAACAGAAGGTTTTATAACTAGAAATATGTAACAGGAAAGTGGCCTTCATGAGCTCTAAACAGCTCTTCAGTTTTGCTACATTTAATAGTGCTCCCCTGTTATTGGTTGCTTAGTTAGGAAACTCAATTAATGTGATCATTGCCAAAGGAATTAAATTAACACAAACTTAATATAAGCAACAAGATTAAGAGGCATATGATAAAGTCATTACATCATAAATTAAGAAAGACATTTCCTGGATCATGGAAGTGTTAAATAAATTTAATTCCATGGTTTATTTAAACCGTCTTGCAGTGCATACACTCATCTATCTCCGTCTCTCACTCGCACTACATGTTTTGGCATAATAATGCCATCTTCAGGTGCTTACTCAATCCACGCCAAACTAGTTCATTGCATGCCTTGTCCTCACATTAAAATAACTAAAATATATATCTATCATATACATTTACAAATGTCAGACGTTAAAAATATTAAAATTGTTCAGGATTCCACCTCGCTACGTCGCACCTCACTACGCCAGTCACACCCATTCTCCTCTGTTGGAGCACTCCTTCACTATCGTGTGTGTGTTGTGTTTTTGTTGTGTCTTGCTCCTGTGACTGCGTATGTTATACTGTTGGGCCTGCTGGGTATGTGTGTGTGTTCTATCTGCCTACTGGATGGAGAGCACCTAAAGGCAGAGCATACTGTTCCTAACTCCATTTTGTACTACAACAAGCATTACAGAAATTATAACACAACTATGGTACAGTTACAGTCTCTTGACATTCTACAGACCTTCTGCGGGCAAAACCGAATGATGCAGAACATGTCATAACACAAATCTGAACACTTAATTCCATTTAGGTTTGATCTGTTTCATTTTGGTTCATCACACCAACAATATTACAACAAAGTAACTTTAATAATTATTTCAACATATTTTTAGAAGCAGCTGTAATTGTTAAAAAACATTAGACTTATACATTGTATTATGATGACATTGTATGTACACATTAACATTCAAAGAACATATTGTAATAGTTGTTTCTAATTGTATTTATACCCTTCTCATGATGGTCTGTAGGACCGAAACATGTAAAGGATAAAAGATTAAAAAGAAAAAAATGGTCAGTAACCTGGATGGAATTAATTAACCTTTGCAATAATTCCATTTAATTAATACAAAGATAAACATACGGGATACTCATTTAATCTACGTAAGATTTCAATAATTCGGATCAAATATTATAATCACAATAATGTTTATCTTGACAGATTTCTGTACATTTGCAATTTCATTCGGTGTATTAGGCATGAGATTCATATACAAAATAACATGTCTAACATGTAGATGTAAATTCGTGTGTAAACGTCAACTCTCGTTTCGCGACATCAAATCACATACAAATTAGTAGAGAATAAGCAATAAATTATACACTCTAAATCACTATTACGCAAATGATCATAACTGACCATAACTACCGCCAACGGCACAAAAATGTAATTGCTTTCTTAGGGGCTCTGTGACTCTTTCAGACAAATATAATACAATAGGTGTATTCATCATCATCTGTCGTCTGTCAGACGACAGGTCCACAGTCTCTTCCAAAACAATTCTTCCATTTAATGCGATCTAGAGCTTTCTCCTTCAAATGACAGTATCCTCTTCTGTCCCCAAGGTCATCCAGCATCTTCTTACGTCTTCTTCTTGTCTTCTTGTCACTTCCATCCGCCCCTCTATCTTTCATTCAATAACTTCTTTTAGAAGGCAGTTTCTGCGTAAAACATGACCAGTAGGTGTATTAGTGCCTATAAATAGATGTCCAATAGGTGTATTAGTACCTATAAATAGATGTATTGTAATTTTGTGTTATCCATTCCCTTAAGCAGAAGTATTTGCTGAACACCTTGAACAAGTACTCACCTCACTTCCCCCCAGAAATTCAGACAAAGACATAGAATCCTTCCTTGAAATACCTTGCCAAATGTCCCTACCAATTAAACCGTTCTCTCCCAAAGAAGTAAGACGACAAATCAAAAACCTCAATCTACGTAAAGCCCCAGGATATGATCTTATTACAAGCGCCATACTGAAACAACTTCCAAAGAAAGGACTAGTATTATTAACAACCATTTACAATAGTATGCTTAGACTAGCATATTTTCCGCTAATATGGAAATTCGCCCAGATCATAATGGTGCCTAAACCCGGCAAACCTATCAATGAAGTCAGTTCTCATCGACCAATCAGCCTACTGCCAACACCATCAAAATTATTCGAAGAACTACTCCTCTCCAGAATAAGCATCGACATAGATCTACCAACCATCATTCCTGACTTCCAGTTTGGATTCAGGAAACACCACTCGACAGTACAGCAAACAAACCGAATAGTAAATAAAATCGCAGCAAGTCTCGAGGAAAAATCCTTCTGCACAGCGGCATTTCTTGACCTAACCCAAGCATTTGATAAAGTATGGCACTCCGGTCTACTATATAAAATCAAAAAGTTTTTTCCTACCCCATATTTCCTATTATTAAAATCTTACATTACAGAAAGACACTTTCAAGTCAAATACAATACAACATACTCAAACAATTATTCAGTGAATGCCGGCGTACCACAGGGAAGTGTGCTGGGACCATTACTCTATCTAATTTACACTTCAGACCTGCCCACCACAGACAAAACAATCATAGCAGCTTTTGCTGATGACACGGCCATACTGTCAATAAGCGGAGATCCTCAACTAGCATCACAATACTTACAAAACCACTTAGATCTCTTTGAACAATGGGCCACCACATGGAAAATCACAATCAATCAGGCAAAATCTGTTCAGACAACATTCACCACCAGGAAAACAACATGCCCACAAGTCTCCATCCAGAACACACCAATTCCTGTGCAATCCGAGGTAAAATACTTGGGACTTCACTTGGACCAGAAATTAACATGGCAAAAACATATTAAAACCAAATGTCAACAAATGAACATGAAACTCCGTGAAATGTCATGGCTCATGAACCGTAAATCAAAATTATCCTTAAAGAACAAACTGATACTGTACAAATGCATAATTAAACCTATATGGACATATGGAGTTCAACTGTGGGGCTGTGCAAAGCCATCAAATACACAAATCATCCAAAGGCTACAGTCCAGAGTTCTACGAACAGTCACCAACGCACCCTGGTATGTCTCCAATCGGACGCTCCACAACGACCTGCAAGTCCCATATGTAACAGACGAGATACGAAGATTAGCTCTACTCTACAAACAACGACTACAAGGACATGACAACAGATTAATTGAAGAAATAAGAAACCCAACGTTGCACGGAGACTGAAGAGACAGTGGCCTTCCGAACAGACAAAATTAGGTTAAGCAATAAATTGTAGCATCAATTGTGTTTAAGAGCATCGACGCTGGTTGATTCTCTACTCACGTTCCAACCTTTAACCAATTTACTTATTGCTCCTTACTGTAGTGAGTAGATTGTAAATTCGCAGAGAAATAAAAAAAAATCCATTCCCTTCGTCTTTGTGCAACTTTTTATGTTAATATTCACTCGTCTTCGTTCGTTTATTATACCACACTACATTTTCTGTCTCACTGGTGATAATCATGTTAATAAACTGTTGGTTGAACTAATTTGCTGCTCGTTTTATACACTGTTCATGAATTCACTTCGAAACGTTCGAATGATTCAAATATTTCGCGTCAAATCACCGATATCACGTGCAGTTGTGTGATTGGTCCAGACAGTACACGTGATCCAATCAGATCGCAGGAGTGGTCTGCGCAGATGCGTTTTGTCATGTCTGCGACCTTTAGCGATGGTTTCCGACGGAGTCGATTGAAGTGCTTCAGATATTTTAATTTTGAATTTCGAGATTTGTGATTGAAATAAACAAGAATTCGAGGTAATTTGCTATACATTCGATGCCATCTGCAGTGGTCTGTGTGAAGTATTAACTGTTGTGATTGTTGGATAAATGTTTTGTTGGTTTGTATGCATTGAAGCGAAGATAGTGTTTGGTTTAAAATGAAATGTTTAGTCTCTAGTTGTATGAGTAGGCTTGACTTTGATTTTGTTAGGTTAGGTAAGTTAACTCAAATGTAATTGGTTTATCTGTAGGAGAAGCCAGAGTGTTGCCTACTTTTGGATAAGATTGAGAACAACATTTCATAGCCTGAGAGTTTGAAGATGATATCGACTATTAACATTACACTTAGTACTTGTGATTTCGGTCGGCATAGTTCGTTTGCGGACTAAAATTACGTAGTTTGTTTTTTTTATTTGCCATCTGTCCGAATTATGTAATCGTTATAGTATTCCAGCCGTATGAAGTTAATGAATCATTGTAACTAAAATTTTATTTATATGTTTAAAATCGTTACAAGGTTCTGGAATTTGCAAGTGTAATATATATATATACCTTGCATTTGAGTGTACAGCTTTTAAAATTAAACATTGGAATGGAATTGATGAAACAGTGAAAACGAGGTTTGATTTTAAGTCACAGTTATCCCGTTTATGCATGTTGCCTATTATTAGAAGTTAGCCTAATTGATTATGTGAAGTTTTCAAAATAAGTGCACAGGAAGGTTGTAGAGGAGTGTGTTCCCATTGTATCACATGAAATACACTATTGAAGCCTAACTGCTCCTTCCACTTTTGTTTCAGGTTTTCTGTAGAGGTAAGTTATTAGTTATCTGGAATTAACACTCCTTGTGACTGCTAGAATTTATCCATACCTATCAAAATGTGTGGAACATAACATGAAAATATGAATTTATATGGCATATTTAAACATATTAGTAAATAAATAGGATTGAAAGGTCTTGTAGGTTTGTATGTGCTGCACTGTTGTGTATATAGATGTGTTTCATGTTCTTTTATTACTCTTATTTGGAAGATCATAATATATCATGTATTTTGAAAATAGGTAATGGAACATAATAGGCATATAATCTATACACTTCCCATTCTTCTGTCTGTGTGTATGTGTATATGTACACTGTGTTCAGAGCACTAGCTGATTGGACCCTGATTTTACCTGCAAAGAACAATGCATTGCTTGCCGAGAAAAATGCCTGCAGGCATTTGGAACCAGTAGCACACTTTATTTAATTCGTCCGTTAATTATTAATCAAATATATTGTACTCGCCATCACAGAAGATACTCAAAATGTCTGCCCTCTGCTGTGAGAAATGCCTGAATTCTTTTAAACAGATTTCAGGAAACTAGTTGCAATTCACGTTGCTGAATATTGTAAATTGCTTCACAAATATTCTGTTCTAGAGCCTGTTGTATCCTGAAGGATAGTGATGGGATGTACTTCTAGACCAAGTGGAAGTCTTGTGGATTGGGATCGTTGGAGCACTTAAGAATTGAAATTCAAGTCTTTGGAAGTCGGTTTTCAGGTTAATAGAACGATGTATTGAATAAAATGGTTACACAAGGTTACAATAGGAATATTAATTATGACTACTTGATGAATGATTAGAAGAATGTGAATGCACTATGCACCAATGCGGTAGGATTCGGCAAGTAGTGAGAGGTACTCCCCACAAATAAAAATCACAGCGGTCTAGATCTAGGGGGCCACAAACCTTCGCTGATATTTGTATCATCTCCATTTAACTCTCCAAACACAGCATATAATGCTCGGATAGTTTCCTTAGCTGTGTGTGGAGTTGCGCTGTCTTGCATAAAATAACTGAATCTTTCTTCTGCAGGTGCCAGATTAATGAAAAATGGATGGAGTATTTCATTAATATATCATTCAGCATCAAACATTCCTTCATAAAATATTGGTCCAATGATACAGTTTGTGCTACTCACACACCATACCCCTGTCTTTTGGTTGTAAAGGGGAAGTTGAATTAGCACATGAGAATTTTCACTACGCCAGTACCTATTGTTTTGTGAGTTAACATATCCCGAGAGAATAAAATTAACGTCATCTGTGAAAAATGTCAGCTTAGGATCAAGAAGTGCATCACGCACATGGTTGATTTACAAAACCTTACTCTTTTTTCATATTCCATAGGTTTAATTTCAGGAACAACAGTAATTTTATATGGACGAATATGCAACATTGTAGTTGCTGTCCACGCACTGCCTACAGAAACACCCCATTGTTCTAATTGCAGCAAAGAGTTTCAAGGAGAATTTTCTAATTGACGACCGATGTCATCAAGTTTTTCCACTGTTAAAACATGATTTCTTTTTAACAGCTATCTGTTAATTAAAATATGGGTTCAAACTTTCGTCAGTAATTTGGAAATTGTGTCCCCAGATGGACATGTTTCAGGAAATTTACAGTGAAATTTTCTCCTGCACAATTTATGTGAGTTTGTTTTCACATAACAATCATAAATGAAAACTTTTTTTTTCTGAACTGTATCTCACACGAGCCATAAAGATACAGAACTGAGCCCTATACAAAGAAGCATCTGTAACACTTAATGGCGCAACACTGACCGACTCATTGACCTTCAGTTTGCTGGCGGATCCTAGAGTGTCTGCCAACAGGAAGTTTTAAGAAGCTACCTGGCCATCTAATAAGCCTGCACAAAGAACACTCAGAATGTATGTATATGTATCCCCATTATTTTTTGTATTCCTGTTTCTCTCCTTCATTTCTTGTCCCTCCACATTTTCTTCCTTGGCAAGAGTGATTAATGATAAACAAAGCAAAGCATGAAATGTTAACATTTTAACATCAGCATTGGATGGAGGTGTGCTTCACACTCCAGCCACTTTACCTCAAGGAGTCCCTGAGAAGATATTGTGTAAGAGGCTAGAGAGCCTCAGAGCTTATTGAATGTGATGGCAAAGAGGGAAATCTCAGCCTCCTCTGGGAATCAAATCTCGGTCTTCCAAGCTATAGCCATTTGCTATACTGAGCTTTCCCAGTTCATCCACTGCCAGAATGACCAATGGAAAGTTCAGGCACATTTTTACAGTACTGTGGATAGTTGCATTGAGCAATATATTGATATATGTTAGGGTTGTGACATTTGAAGTTGTGAGAGCAGTGAATATTCTGACATGTGATGCCATTATTCTGGGTAGATATGTGTCATCGTTTTGGAGGAAGCTTTTGCTTGCACCTGCAGCTTTAAAGATTAAGGCAGCAGTTTCCTCTGAAGCACTGGTATCCATCTATAAGACCACTGTCTCACAGTCAAAAGAGACAGTTATCTTATTTTGGGTTTAGTATTCATAATTAAGAAGTCAGAGTGAAGTATTCTGCATGACTGGGATTTCAACTTTGCATCACCGCATCCAGTACTGAATCTTGCCTGGGATCCTGATTGGTGGGTACCAGGGGTTGGTGTCACCACCCTTCTCTTAGAAATTTAATTGAATGACTGAGACCTTCTGTAAGTTTGCCTGCTGAAGGTATGACATACCCTCAGAGATGTTTTAGACATACTTTACCATACCATATTATTGTTCATTATAATGTTCCTTGAATTATTCCACCTTTATTGGTAGTTTACAAGGAAGGTACTTCTGTTCTCAGTAAGGAGAGACTTCTCAATCCAACAAATCTGGATAGGAGGTTCTGAGAAAATTTTGCTTCTTCCATAGGACTGGGCAACTGAAAGCATGGAACATTATTTCTAAGCAGACAAGAACAAAGGTTCCATTAGCAATTTCAGTTGGCATTTAGTAAACAGTACTGTACATGGTTTTTATGTCAGGCAGAAGACAGTGTTGACACATAAGCAGATCATTCCTGTGTCAGATGAGAAAAGTAATTATCAGTGCTTTTCTGAATTCTGAGGTGCATATCTCTTTATCTTACAAGTGATGAGATTTAAATGAAAAAAAAAGTCATTCTGGCTACAGAAAGGTTGGGCATTATAAATGTATATTCTGAAAGGTTCTGACAATGGCGTATAACACTTAGAATTATTGGGTTCTTGGACTTTGTCCATCATCCAGTATTCTAAAAAACACGTTTTGGAAACTGGGCGTGTTAAAGAGTTCTTTCTAGTATACCCAACAGAGTAGGTGTTACTGATCCCCTCACTTGAGGACAGAAACAGATCTAGTTTCCAAAACATTGTGTTCTTTAGAATACCAGATGATGGGCAAAGTCCAAAAACCCAGTAATCCCAGACTGTAAATGTACTTTACATAAACTTGTGATGAATGAAGAAACACGCTTTGTCTGGGTAAAATTTAGTTTACAAAAACCCAACTTAAAAAATTCTGGCAGGGTAGTATTATTTGAGGAATATTGACAACAGTGGTTGCCTGAAAGGGCCTAGTTTTTGTCCAGATTAGTTTGTTACGTAGGTTCCTCTTAACAAGGAGCAGACATAGTATTCAGAGTGGAAAGAATGAGTGGAGATAAATGGAAAAGTCCTCACAATTTTGAGAAATGGCAAAAGGTGAGGATGGTTTTGAATTAAGTCCATGTTTGTAATTGCGATGGACATTGAATAAGACACATGAAAAAAAAACTGATGAAATCATCATCTTGAAATGTAGAAAAGGATTTGGTTGACTGGTTGAGACAGAATAAATTAAAATGCAGCATCACAGAAAAGCAACATTATACTCACCAACCACTGGGACAAGTGCATTGATATCATTACAGTCTCTGATTGAACCTCATTTTGCAGCCATGTTCAGGGGAGTATTTGGTGATAACAAGGTGTTATGGAAGACATAGTAAACACAGAATTCAGTAAGACAGCACTGACAACAGAGAAGTAAAAATTTTTGTATTCTTTGGAATTTTTCATTATAAATGTAAACTTGTGTCCATGTACACATTGCCTTGCAAAATTTAGTAATTTGTAAGGGTGTAAGAAGGGGGCAGTGAAAAGCAGTAGGATGAGATGAGTGTTTTGTTATTTGATAGTATCACAAACTCCATACGTCCTCTGCCCTAAAGGTTTTGTATAGTCATTTCTCTTGGGAACAGCACGTAGTATCCATAAAGAAAACTATGTTGATTGGAATGGTTTTTGTAAATAAACCCCAAATTCAGTGACAGATGTGGATGGTCACTGCATATGAAACTGGCATACCAGTCATATTGGAGATCATGAGATAGTGTTGATACTCCTCGAAGGGACATTGCCCTTCCTTGACAGTGTAGTTGTTAATTGTTTCAGTTTGGGTGTGTAGTGGGTCAAATGGCAGATTGGAGATCAAGAGATGATGGAATTTTACAACTGAAACCGTGAATCACAATGATGGATTCCCTAACCATCTTCATTATTGTAGTGTTGATACACTGCACACTCTTCTTCTTTGACACTTTCTTTAAGGTAAGTATGTAATTCATCCCAAGTGATGATGCTTCTAATTTGGAATTAGGAAGTGCTCAGTTCTGACCTGAGTTGACTAACTTCATGGAGCTGAGTCCTTGGGAAACTGCCAGCCATTAAGCTAATTGAGAATTCACCAATGTTTTATGGAACCAAAAGGTCCATTACCTGAGCCCTCCACCGGTCTCTGTCTTAAGGCAGATGAATCCAGTCCAAACCACTCCATCCTGTTTCCCTAAGATTCATTTTAATATTATCCTCCCAGCTATGTCTAGGTCTTCCTTGTGGTCTGTTTCCTTCTGGATTTCCCATCAAAATCCTGTACATCAGTGCTGTCCAACGTTCTTATGTACTCGGGCACAATTCACTGATTGCCTATGGAGGTGTGGGCACCACCACACTACTGCTGCTGCTGCTGCTGCTACTACTACTACTACTTAATACTACTATTTCTACTACTTCTTAAATACTAATAACAATAATTATAAAACAATTAGAAATTTAATACTGACTAAATCTTTTGTTAATATAATTATATTTACTTACAATCTTACATAATTAGTGTGAAATTTGACACTGCATGTTAGCTGCAAGTTGTTGAAAATCTGGTGTGTAGCTGGAACTGGCTGCTCTTAGTGCATCATCTAAGTGTGAGTCTGTTAGGCAGAATCGATACTTATTTTTGATGATGCTCATAGATGAAAATGCGACTTCGCACAGATACGTCGAACCAAAACAAGAATAAATTTTCAGAACAATGCTATGAATCATGGGATATTTATTCCTGTCCACCAGAGTCCAGAAATTGCTACAAGTTGCAGATGAGGATTTCAAAGATATGTCTTCTTGGAAATTTAAAATTTCCATTTCTAATTCTTCAAGATTATACTTTCTGAAGATTTCACACACCTCCCCTCCAAGTTTGCTCACCTCAACAGTAGTGAATGGATTACTGATAAAAATTGTCACTGGTTCAGATGTTGAAAACTGGCTAAATCTATAACCAAATTCAGTCACAAGGGTTTCAAGATGCTGGGCAAAAGATGGAAGATCGTATTCACAGCCATTTAAGGTTTCAACAACAGATTTAATATGCGGAAAATGTGAAAGGGAATTTCTGTGTAAATGTGCAATCCATAGCTTTAGTTTCTTTTGAAAAGCATTAACCACACTTATCATTCTTGAAATGTTATGATCTTTCCCTTGTAATTCAAGATTTAACTCATTTAATTTTGAGGTGATATCTGTCAAGAAAGCTAAATCTAGTAGCCATGATATTTCATCAGGTTCTTGACAATATTGGCCAGGAGATGATTTCAGAAAGTCCCTGACCTCATCCAGAAGACAGAAAAATCGTTCCAGTGTTTTCCCCCTACTAAGCTACCTTATGTCTGCATGGAAAATTATGTCACCATGCTCAGTGTCCGACACATTCAAAAGATTTCTGAAAAATCGACGTCGAGTAGAAGACGATCTGATATAATTTACCACACGAGTTACTACATTCATAACATGTTTGAACTTCAAAATCTTTGCGCATAAAGCTTCCTTGTGGATAATGCAGTGATAAGAAAGAACACTGGGAAATGATTCATCCTTAGCACAAAGAGCAAGGAACCCATTGTTCCTACCAGTAATTGAAGATGCCCCATCTGTAGTTATAGCAACAAGTTTTGAAAGTGGTAAGTTACATTCTTTCACAGATTTAAGGAACACATTAAATACGTCTTCTCCCCTAGTATGTTCATGAAGTGGCAGCAGTTTAACGAACTCTTCCTTTACCATAAAATTGCCAAAAACCATTCTAACAAATACACATAATTGTGCAACATCTGACATATCAGTGCTTTCATCAAGCTGGAGTGAAAAATATTCACACGATTGCAAATCCTGATGTATTTGAGATTCCAGATTATCAGAAATCTGTTCGACTCGTCTAGCAACAGTTTTGTGAGACAACTGAAGTCCTTTGATAGAAGTCATAAGTGCAGATTTATCTTTGTGACCATCGAACAGAGACTCGCCAGCATTGGTCATGGCTTCTTTAACTATTTCCCCATCACTGAAAGGGTTTTTCCTTTTAGCTAACACATGACAGATTTTATAAGAAGCTATTGTTACGTTACTACTTTGCTGAATAGGCTTTGTAAATACACATTGTTGCAAGGTTAATTTAGATTTTAGGTCTTTCACCTTTTGTTTTCTTAGTTCAGATTTCACATGAAATTCATTGTTGAAGTTTTTATGGTTAATCAAAAAATGTCGCTCTACATTACTTTTTTAGGAACAGACGTGCTACCATTAAAAAATAAACACACGTTTTCCTCTGTATTCAGTAAAACAATACTGCTCCTCCCATTCACTGTTAAAACTATAACTTCTTTGCCTTTCAACCATATGAAGAATAGCTATATAAAATAGTACTGCTTATTTACTCAGTAATTTGAAGTACAATAACTAAAATACACTGATAACTGTGTAACTTGTCACAACACAAGACACATAACTGAACTATGGTTGTCACAAACTCACAAGTATTACTGAATGTTTGGCTGAAGAAAGCGAACTGGGAAATATAGCTACTGCCAATTTCCATTAGTGTACGACCCTCTAATAAATTCTTATTGTTTGTGGCATCGCTTTCTTGGGATTAAAGTAATTTTGATTCATATTGCCGATGAGTTTAAAAAGTGGGGAAATTACGGTAAGCTGGGTACCATAGTCATGTTCGGGTTGGTGAATATGTTTGCCCTGCCAATCACAGAAAATTTTATCATACCCTGACAATAAATCCGAAATCCATGAAAGCAGATTCAGTGGGGACTTGCAACTATTTGAGGGGGTAAAAATACTGCTAGGGAACATTACTTGATCTTGAGAGGACGACGGTTTGTCTAGTGAAAAAAGAATTTAGACTGGTGTTGTTAGCAAGGGAGAAAAGAAATAGGTATAAATTTTCAAGGAATGGCTAATACTGTACAATGCTTCAAGGAAATTTTGTGAAAATATGTAACAGTACTCAGACATTCAAAAATGTATCGTGTCTTACAATTTGAATTAATATTAAAAATCGGCTCTATTATATGTGCTTATGGAGGGTGCCAGAAAAATATATCACGGGCGCCTCATTGCACAGGGCTGCTATACATATTGCTATTTCACATCCATACTACATACCCAGGCCATCTCCATCCTCCTGAACATGAGCATTCTAATTATAAATGTTATATTTTAGCGTCCTGTTACACTGATTCAAGTCCATGGTTTATGCTAACCGTCTTACAGTGTATACACTTTTTCACCTTATTCTTCACTTCCACACTGCATGTTTCAGCACTAATGTACCATCCTCAGGTGTCTTTATGCACTTTAAACTATTGTACTGCATGCCACGATATCTTCATTCTAAAATGACTAAAATCTGTATTCATCATATATGTTTATGAATTCGAAATAATAAAACTTTTCAGGATTCATCCTACGTCGCACTCAAAGACGCGAATTACACCAGTCCTCTTTTATATGAGCATTCTTCCTACATAAATTTGTGTATTGTGTTCTGTGTTGTCTTTTGCTCCTGTTACTGCATGCGTTGTACTGCAGCAACAGATTTTAGTCATTTTAGAATGAAGACATCATGGCATGCAGTACAACAGTTTAACGTGCATAAAGACACCTGAGGATGGCACATTAGTGCTGAAACATGTAGTGTGGAAGTGAAGAATATGGTGAAAAAGTGTATACACTGTAAGACGGTTAGCATAAACCATGGACATTCTAATTATATTTGGTGAAGAATCCAAATTATGAAGCTGTTCGTTATGCACTTTTCTCCTTCCTTCAGTTCAGATATTCTCCTCAGCACCCTGTTCTCAAATATCTTCAGTCTGTTTTCTTCTCTCAAAGTCAGGGTCCAAATTTCACTCCCATACAAAACTACAGACAAAAAAAAAACAAAAAGTTCTGAATGGATAATAATAAGCATTACCCAGATTCATTCTGTTCTTAATTTCCATCATCATCATCATCATCATCAGTAATCTGTGAGATGACAGGTCCACAGTCTCTTCCAAAACAATTCCTCCACTTAATGCGATCTAGAGCTTTCTCCTTCAAATGAGAATATCCTCTTCTCTCCCCAAGGTCATCCAGCATCTTCTTACGTCTTCTTCCTCGTCTTCTTGTCACTTCTATCCGCCCCTCTATCTTTCCTTCAGTAACTTCTTTTAGAAGGCAGTTTCTGCGTAAAACATGACCAATCCAATTAGCCTTCCGTTTTCTTATTTCATGTAGGATATTCCTCTGCTCACTGACTTTAATTAACACTTCTTCATTTCTCACATAATCGGTCCAACTGATCTTCTCCATCCTTCTCCAACGCCACATTTCGAAGCTTTCCAGGTGTTTCTTATCTACTGCCCTAAGTGTCCAAGTTTCAGCCCCATACAGAGCCATACTCCAAATGTAGCATTTCACTAGTTTCTTTCTCAAATATAAGTCCAATTTTCTGGTAAAAAGATTTTCTTCTTGTTAAATGCAGCTTTTGCCATGGCAGTCCTAGGTTTAATTTCACAAGTACACCTTCCATCATCTGTTAACAAGCTACCCAAATATTTAAAACATTTCACATTCTCCAGTTGTTTTTGGTCCATCTTTATTGTGACTGGAGTTGGTTGCCTCGAAATTTTCATTAGTTTTGTTTTTTCCACATTCATTTCCATGCCACAGCACCTTCCAATTTCAATTAGTCTATCAATCATGCCCTGTAGCACAGTTTCTTCCTTAGCCATTAACACAAGGTCATCTGCATATTTCACAGTTTGAATAATTTGCCCTCCTACTTTGAAGTCACCGAGCCCATCCAGAGCTTCCTTGGTAAGGCATTCGCTGTACAAGTTGAACAGAATTGGTGATAAACAGCATCCTTGTCGAACTCCTCTTCCAATCTGCACACTTCCTGTCTCCCCCCTGTCCAGTCGTACTCTAACTTTCTGATCCAT